GGAGCCAGGGGCGGACTAGCAATCAAAATAGGCCCGGGAAATGGGTTGAGAATGGCCCACTTTTTCACATAAAAGAATTTTTTAAAAATTTACTCTTTGACCCCTGCTAGCCATACCCCTGACTCACATTAGCCAGGCCTCTGGAGGTAACACTCTCAGGGCAAGATGGACACATGACCAGAAGTAAAAGGTGTCATGTGACTCCTTCTAAGGACTTTTCCCACCATCCTCCTACCAATAGGGATCCTCATGCAATCCTCCCTCATGCAACTATCCTGCAGTTGCATTAACCCACTGTGTGTGACATTAACTCGGGGGCAGAGAGGCTGGGGGAAGTGGTCCCTCTAAGAGGTTCCTCCCATGAGCAGAATGAATTTTGTGTTGTGCACCAGTACTGAGTTCATGTGGCTTGTTTGGATGTGTCTCTGTGGCACCAAAGTTATTAATAAATATCTCAGGGTATGTCTACACTACAGCGCTAGTTCGAACTAACTTAGTTCGAATTAGTTAATTCGAACTAAGCTAGTTCGAACTAACGCATCTAGAACTAAAAACTAGTTCGAACTAGCGTTTTACTAGTTCGAACTAGTAAGTCCACATTGAGTGGACTCTGAACAGGGCTTAAGGATGGCCGGAAGCAGTGCCGGCAGGGCATAAAAGGAGGACTTAGAGCATGGAGATACTGTCTCAGGCTAGCCGAGGGCTGCGCTTAAAGGGTCCCGACCCCCACCCCGGACACACAGTTCTAAGGGGTGCCCCGCTTGCAAAGAAGTTCTGGCTTGGAGTGCCCTGAGTGCCCACACTGGGCACATCACACCACTCGGCCATCAGCCCGGCTGCACTTGCCGCAGGCTGCCATCTGGGGAGAGGGAGTAATTGGGGGGCTGCAGGAGAGCTTCCACCCCCAGAAGCCCGCAGAGCCAGCCCAGTCCTCCCCATCGGGGGCTCGTACCCCATTCCTCCCTCACCTCCTTCCACTTACCCTTCCTTAGCCCCCCTTCTTATTGATGTACAAAATAAAGATAACGTTCCTTCCAACATTGACTCTGTCTTTATTGAAAAAAACTGGGGGAGACTGGGAAAAGGAGGTGGGAGAGGGGAAGAGAAAGGCTGGGAGAGGGGAGGGCAACTAACATGATCAGGGGTTGGGAACAGGTCCCAGATGAAGAAAGGCTACAGAGACTGGGACTGTTCAGCTTAGAAAAGAGGAGACGGAGGGGGGACAGGATAGAGGTCTCTAAAAGCAGGGGTTGGGTGGAGAGGGTGCATTCAGAAAAGTTCTTCCTGAGATCCCATAAAGAAGGACTAGAGGACACCAAAGGAAAGGAATGGGTAGCAGGCTTGAAACTAGTAAGAGAAAGTTGTTGTTCTTGACAAAGCAAATAGTTAACCTGTGGAACTCCTTGCTGCAGGAGGCTGTGAAGGCTACAACTAGAACAGAGTTTAAAGGGAAGTGAGATAAAGTGATGGAGGTTGGGTCCATGGAGTCCTATTAGCCAGAGGGTAGGAGTGGTGTCCCTGCCCAAAGTTTGTGGAAGGCTGGAGAGGGATGGCACGAGACAAATGGCTTGGTCACTGTCTTCGGTCCATCCCCTCCAGGGTCCATAGGGTTGGCCGCTGTCGGCAGACAGGCTATGGGCTAGATGGACCTTTGGTCTGACCCAGGACGGCCATTGTAAGCTCAGGGCTCAGTGTCGGGGGTCTCAGTGGACCCCCTTGATTTTCATGCACACCTGGTCCTGGGTGGCCAGGCTGGCAGCTCTCCTGCCCTAGACGGCCACTTTCCTGTGCCTAGTGCGGAGATCGTGGACGAGGTCCACGATGTCCTCACTAGCCCAGGAAGGTGCCCTCCTCTTGCGGTCCAGGGCAGTAATTCAAATTACTCTACTGACAAACTATTTTTTTCCCAAAATGAGAAATTACAAGAAAGCCGACTTCTCAAAATGGATAAAGACTCTGGGTATGTCTACACTACAAAGTTAGTTCGAACTAACGTAACTTTAATAGGTGCTACACTAGCGCTCCGCTAGTTCGAATTTGAATCGAACTAGCGGAGCGCTTAGTTCGAACTAGGTAAACCTCATTTTACGAGGACTAACGCCTAGTTCGAACTAGCTAGTTCGAACTAGGCGTTAGTCCTCGTAAAATGAGGTTTACCTAGTTCGAACTAAGCGCTCCGCTAGTTCGATTCAAATTCGAACTAGCGGAGCGCTAGTGTAGCACCTATTAAAGTTAGTTCGAACTAACGTCCTTTAGTTCGAACTAACTTTGTAGTGTAGACATACCCTCATAAATCTCTACCTTTTCCCTCTGCTGACATGTCTCCTCCCCTTGCTCCATCAGCTCCCTTGGTGCCTGCTGCTCCCCAACCCCTCACCTGCCTCTGCTGTCCTGACTCCTGCCCTTCTCACTGCCCTCAGCCCTCCTGAGACCTGCCCCCCTCCACCGGCCCTTCTCTACCCCCGTGCCCTCTCCTCCAGTAGCCCCACTCTGATCATGTGAGCTACCCCTCCTCATCCCCTCTCCTAACACCTCCCTCTACACACCTGCCCTGCCTCTCTCCTCTGGTGCTGGTCCCTCCCCTGCAGGTGTCTGCCCTTCTGCTTTACCTCCAGAATCCCCTGGCACCTGCACCTTCCCTTAGTCCTACATCCTCCTGGAGCTTCCCCCTTCCCTCACTGCCCCTGTCGGCCCTTCTCTACCCCCGTGCCCTCTCCTCCAGTAGCCCCACTCTGATCATGTGAGCTACCCCTCCTCATCCCCTCTCCTAACACCTCCCTCTACACACCTGCCCTGCCTCTCTCCTCTGGTGCTGGTCCCTCCCCTGCAGGTGTCTGCCCTTCTGCTTTACCTCCAGAATCCCCTGGCACCTGCACCTTCCCTTAGTCCTACATCCTCCTGGAGCTTCCCCCTTCCCTCACTGCCCCTGTCCCCTTTGCCCTCTTTTTCCCTGATGTCCACCCCCTCACCACCCTCTGCCTCCTGTTCCCCTCATGCACCTGTGCCCTCACACATGCCTTGCACCTCCCAGCACCTCCCCCTCCCCCCTCTAGTCCCCAATGCCCTTACTCTCTCCTCTCCCAGCATCACCCTGTCCCCCCTCCCACTGACACCTCCCCTCCTACCCTTTTCCTCATTGTCTCCACTTGGCCCCCTGGCATTTATCTCTCCTCCACCCTGTCCCTTGGTGCCTTCCCCTTTCTTCTCCTGACCTGCCCCCTTCCCCTCAGCACAAGCCCCTTTCTCTCTTCCGCTTATTCCCCCTCCCCTTCGCCCACCTACCTTCTGCCTCCCAGTTTGCGGTGCTGGAGTCTGTGATCGGGCCCCAGCTGCTTCCGGGGCTCCAGACCATGTGCCGGGCCTCGAGCTGGGCCACACGGTGCGACTCTGGGCTGAGCATTTTTAAAGTCCTGGGTTGTGACGTCACGTCATGCCTGGGCATCTCCCCTCTTACCTGTTGCGCGGCGTTTGAGCACACTGCATATGCTCTCCCTGGCCCCACCCTGGCCTGTAGATGGCTGGCGCGCAGCACCGGGGAATTTAAAGTGCGGGGCTGCAGCGCCCCATCACAATCCCCCTCCTCCTCCAGCAGCCACCAGCCGGCCCTTCAGCCGACCCTTCAGAGGACGGCCCACTGGGAAATTCCCAGTGTCCTGCGGGGCCAGTCCACTCCTGGGAAGAGCAAACTGGATGTGGCAGTTTTTCCGGATATCTCTGGAAAAATCCAGTAGTCTAGACATAGCCATAGACCCAGGCTTAGTTACAAACCTCAGGTTCGCCTAGGTTCACTGAAATATTTACTGCCAAACTGTCGAGCAAACCTGCAGGAAGAACGGAGTGACTCTAGGCTGAATCTGAGTAAAATCCACGAGATCTTTGAAAAGATTTATTATTTTAAATCTCACACACAGCTGCATTTGTATGAGATTTCAGAAAAAAATGTAGGGAACATAAACCCAAATAAAAATTCAGTGATCCCTTCCCTCCATGTTTTATACAGCTTTGGCCATACAGATTCATCTTAGAATAAGAACATTTTTTTCTATTGGTATAATTCAGAATGGCCAAAAACTAAAGTTCTCCTTTGTGTTCTGAGCCCTTCTGTGAGGATTTAACCCACAACAAATGTTTTTACATCCATCATAAATACATCCATCATAAATACATACATTGCCAACAGCTGAAATGAGTGTTCACTGCTTTTCTTTGTGCTGCAGGTCCTGTGAATACTTGCAGACACATACATATCAAGAAAACGTTGTATTGACATTTTTTGGGAAAAAAATGTAGTTCATGCTGCATCAAATCCTAACAGCTCAGAGAATTCACCAGAATCATACAAATACCCTTTTCAAAAGGAAAACAACAATCCCCAAACCAGAAAAAAACACTTCCCCACTTGGTCAGGAGTTTGAATTCAGCATTGAGTAAGGCTGTCAACATCTGATGGTTGCTCTGTGGCCCATATGAAATGGATCCATGTCCAAATCACAAAAGCTTCACCACAGTTGATATTAGTAACTAATACCCCAATTGGCTGCCTGAAAAATGGATAAACACCTCACCTCTAGATCAGGTCAGGGTAGAGGCAAACAAGCAGTGAAGTATGATAAAACTGCAGAGTTGTTGCTCAAGATTATCCCTGGTTTGCAGTGGTAAAGTCACATTATACTAGCACAGTGATAAGTAGATGTAGAAGTGTATATAGAACATCCACCATTCTAGCATTACGTCTTGCCTGGAAAATGGCACAGCGCTGGACCACTGGTGAACGTTAAATAATCCATGTCTCAGTTGATTGGTTTAAGATGTATCAATATGTTTTAAAATTGTGGGCCACAATATCTGTTTGGTCTGATGCTTTTAACAAAGTGCCTTCTTATTCTTTAGAAGAGGCAAAAGTTGAGGAGAGGCTGAGTGGGGATTATTGCAAAGTTGAGACAACGCTTTTCGTGCAGGAGTGTCTCTTTTTATGGAAATTTTGTCTCCTATAATGTTGGATGAAACAATCAGGAATCTTTTTTAAATCTTAAAACATACAGTCCCAGATCCTGGGGCTCTTACTCAGTTTCATAAGCAGGCCCTTTGACAGGAACGAGTAAAGAGGGCAGTTGCTCTAGGGCCCTCAATCAGGATGTCAGTACTAGTATTGGGGGTTTGCATGTGAATTGGATTTTTCATCACTCAGCTTCATTACTAATAAGGATGAACTCCTTCTGAGGCTTGCAGCTTTTTCTAACAATCAAATCTCTACTAGCCATCAGTCATAATCAGAAGTGCTGACCAGCACCTTGTGACTAAGGGGTTAACTCTGTCCCTACCCAGGTATGTGGTCAGCTAATAACAATGCAGGTAGGAATTTCAAACTGGGACAAAGGAGGCTCTGAGAGCTGGCTGGGGGGTGCTGAGGCCAGCACAGCACACTCCAGGAGGCACTGAGGACTACCTCAGCCCTGCCCCTTCTGCTTGAGGCCCTGCTCCTTTCAGGAGAACAGAGCTGCCCTTCCCCCACCTTGCCCAGGGACCCAGCAAGTCTGTCAGCCCCCCATGCACAACCTTCCACTGAAGCCAGTGGCTTCTTCCAGAATAAAGACTGAGTATAAGGATCTCACAATTTGGCCGGTAGAGATGTGCCATTAACTCATATTCAGATGAAGGATTTTTTCCTCTTGTTTAAAGATGGTATTTGAAAAACTCCAGGTCTGTTTCACTTCAACCTCTTGTCATGTATCTCATTCTTTCTCCTCCTCCCTGCGGAGCCTGTTGCAAAACTGGTCTGCTGGTGGCAAAGTTCCTTACAGCCTCTCAGACAGACGCCTGTACTTTTGACTGGGGCTGGCATTCATTTAAAGGATTTATGTGGATCCCCATGAAGTATTAATCAAAACAACAGCATCCTACAGAAAACTAATTAATTTTCCATCTGCTAAAAGTTAAAACAATATTCATTAATCAGTACATTTTCTATCTACTCTTGACCCTCACCTGGTTTATTTAAAAATAACATTCAGGCGAGGATTTTGATTATCTATTGTTGAGAAACAATTAATTCAAGGAAATGTTTGTAGTGGAAGGAAAGTTAAGTCAAGTAAGAATTAAGTCTGGTATATTACTGGGCTGCAGCCTGTGAGGCCAGGTCTATGCTAGGGGAGAAAGTTGACATAAGATCTGCAACTCCAGCTATGTGAACAGTGTAGCTGAAGTCAACGTACCTTCGGTCAAATTTCTGCGGCATCCATGCTGCAGGAGGATGGGGGAAACTCCCCTAATCCGTGCTGCAGGAGGATGGGGGAAACTCCCCTATTGTCTTCCCTTATTCCTCATGAGCTGGTGGAGTACCAGAGTCAACAGGGGTGCTATCAGCAGTCGATTTAGTGGATCCTTACTAGACCCACTAAATTGAACCTTGAGAGCTCGATCTCTCCTGGTAATGGAGACAATGACCACAGAGCATACAATATAACACAAGTCAATTTCAGCAGAGTGTCCTTCTGCAATACCATTGCCCAGATTGCTTTGCAGAGCGAAATAATACAGGACTGGATCCTGCCTTTCAACTTCTGTGAACACAGGGGGACCCTGGTCTAGCACACTATCTCTAAAGTTTCAAAAAGGGGAAGGAATTTTCCATGGAAAACGCAATTATTCCTTAGATATGTCAGGCCAAAAATCTAGTTAGAACAGCCTCTAACACAGTTTGTGGTGCCTCTGCTTCCCAAAAGGAACCCAGAAGGATGGGGTGAGGAGGGGGAGGACAAACAAACCATATGTTACCTGAGTATTTTCCAGTCTGCAAAACTGAGCAGTGCTGGGGAAGTAGGGGAGTGTTGGGGAAGGACAGGCAACATTCCTATCTGAATCTGGATTCCATACACTTCCAAAATTCATTGAGACTTTTATCCAGGACTTTGATTTAACTCATCATTGTTATAAAGAAAATTGTGAAAATCAGACCCAGTTTGGATTTCAAATTCCCCCTTCTCTAGCCACCATCAGAGTTCAGAAATATTCACATCCTGGGATTTAATTCACCCCACCACTGATATAAAGCCAGCTGCGAAATTTGGATCCACGTGCCTTTTTAGATTTTACCCCACCCCCAAGTCAAGGGTATTTGTATCCGGGTGTTTAGAGATTTAGATGGCAAAGAACTACATTGGTATTACTTTTCTGCAAATGCCTTCTTGCTTTATATCTTGATTGTATGAAGATGTAAAAAGTGTAAAAAGAAGAAAACAGTGTCTTCAGGCAGAAAAACTCACCTTCTCCTATGGACAGTCTGAAGTCCTTTTTAGGAAAATCTGTACTGTGTGTCGTGGTTGAAAGTTTAAACACTCTAAATCCATCAGGAAGTTTTCTTAAAGACAAAAAGAAAAAGTACCAGCAGATGATGTGACAGTAAAGATTGAACAGGTTTTAATTTATCTTGACAGCTCTGACATCATTGAATGCTTGAGGGACTGTGTTACTAATGGATTGAGTGGCACACTAGAGCAGGTCATGAACCCTGGGACACTCAGCCTATGATAACAGCACACTCCCCTTCACAGGGAGTAAAAATATATAGTGCAGGATCTCTCCATGTAATATTGCTGTCAGATTTAATAATTCAACAAGGGTGAGCAGCAGCAGGAAAAGAAAGGGGTGAAAATAAGAAAGATGCAAATTCTCTCAAGCTAGAAAAAGGTCTTAGAACAGCCATTTATCTGAAGAAGTGGGCTGCGCCCACGAAAGCTCATAGTACCATCTACAATACATGTTTTGCTAGTCTCTTAAGGTGCTGCAAGACTATTTGCTGTTTTTAAAGTTTTGCTCCTCTATCTAGTCATCTACAACAGTGTTTCTCAACCAGTGATTTGTGTATCCTTAGGGGTACTCGAGAGAAGTCTGGGGGGGCAACACAAGTGAAGTTTGGCAAAAAATGTCCGGGATTTTGCCCCATCCCTCGCCAGCAGCTCAGTACAACGCATCCCCATTGCCCCTTTCCCATGGTGCTGTGGAGAGGAGCTAGAAGGCAGTGAAGCGGCACAATAAGCTTTGCTCCAAAGGACTCCCCACATCCGTGGCATAGTGCAGAGAGGTGGGGGGGGGCACTTGCCCCCGGGTGTCATGCTCAGGAGGCGCCGGGCTGGAATGGGAGCACACAGCCCCAAGCGGTGAGCTCGGTGCTAGCGGACTACTTGGTCCCTGCTGATCAAGACATCAAGGCAGAGTTGGGTGGCGGGAGCGAGCACTTCAAAAGTAGAGTTACCCCAATCGTCTGGTGCCTAGCTCTGGGAGAGGGGAGGGGCATTGGGTTGGGGGGAGGATGCCTGGCTCTGGGGCTACTTATAATTTTTTTGAAAAAGGGGTACTTTATAAAAAAAAGGTTGAGAAACACTGCTCTGCAAGGTTAGAACCTAGCCTGTTAGTGCCGTTGCATAGCTCTCTGTCCCTTGAGCTAAAGGAACACCTTAGATTAGAAGCAGCAGCAGGTTGTTATCCTTTGGTATCATTCTACAAGAAGGCAAGGCCTTAGGCTATGTGTACACTACACAGCTTCTAGCGACGAGGCAATGTCGATACAGCCCTGTCGCTAAAAGCTGGCCTGTGTGAATGCTGTTTGTTGGCACTTTGGCTGACAAAGTACTTCTCGACTCCATGACTGGCTTTCGTTTTGTGGCAGCATAGCTGTGACTACACTCAGACCCACCAACGCGGGTGGGGGGGGAGGGGCAAAGGGATCAATTGCCCCAGGGCCTGGAGATTCAAAGGGGCCTAGAGTTCTTGGCTGCTGCCACTACTGCAACCATGGCAATGGCTGAGCCCCAGGCTCTTTTTGCTCTGCCCAGCTCTGGGGGGTGAGGAGCGCCATGGTCTGGGCAGCGCTAAGGTCTGACTGCCCTCGGCCACAGACCATCCATCCTCAGCCCTGCCCCTTCCACTCTCAGCCTCACCCCTGCTGGGGGTGTGAAGCCACCCCTCCCCGCCTTCTCTAGAGGCCCACGGTGACTGTTGGTCCCACTGACCACACCGCAGATTTTGCCAGCTCAGCTATGTGACTAAGGTGTGTGGTTTTTTTCAGACTCTTGACCAGCATAGCTATGTCAGCAAACGTTTGTATTGTACACCTGATCTTAGTTAAGTACAGAAGGCAGGTGTCACATTCAGGGCCCAGTGTGAGGAGCTGAGTGTGTTCCACTCTCACTGGACAGCTCTCAGTTCCTGTCCATGACCTTGTAGGAGGCGTTCAACAACTTGCCTACCCAGGCCTTGGAAAATTTCCTGTGGGTCAGCAGGCACTGCCATATTCAAAGGCACCCAAAAGAATCTTCTCAGTGGAAGTACTTCATGGAAGTTCTCACACCAAACAAACACATAAGAGTTTCTATTTTTCATTTGCTCAACTTCTCCCCCTCTCAGTTCCTTCCCCCCAACAATTAACATTAACATTAAGCATAGACAGGAAAATACACTCCAGACAAATTTTTCTGCAATCTACAAATCCATACCTGGGCTAGTAGCTCATGTTGCCTTGTTTGTGTCACACCTGCTTTAAACTGCGATGCTCCAAATTAGATGGAAAAAACCATGCAAATGCTGTGTAGTTTTCTGGCAAATTAGCATGCAAACTGCAGAAAGGTGAAGATTGCTAGGAGGGGAGCAGCACTAACATTATATGACTGATTAGTTAAGCAGGATAATTAGGAAAAACGTGGCTGAGAAAAATGTAAGTGTCAATGCAGTCATAGATTCAGATTGCATAAGGTTTGTCATGTAGTACAAAGAAAGTGTGTTTGCAACTCTTCTTATGATAAACTAAATGTAATAGTGGACTCCTGTGATAGTGGAAATTACTCTGTATCTTACCTGGTAGACAACCCTACCCATATAGTTTAATATAAATACCAATTTTTTATTTGTGAATGTGAGGCTGTGGCGTGTTAAATATATACAGAAACTATTTCAGGAAAATTGTTATGTAGATTGCAGCATTTGGCACAATTGACAAATGCCAGATTTATGGTTACCCGAGTAACCTTATTTCTGACCCTTTGGGTATGTCTAGACTACATGCCTCTGGCGACAGAGGCATGTAGATTAGGCTGCCCGGCATAGGAAAATGAAGCAGGGATTTAAATAATTGCCACTTCATTTAAATTTAAATGGCTGCCGCAATGAGCCGATCAGTTGTTTGTCAGCTCAGTGCGCTAGTCTGGATGCTCCGCGGTCAACATCAAAGGGATTTGTCGACCTCCCCGGTAAACCTCATCCCACGAGGCATACCGGGGAGGTCGACAAATGCCTTTGATGTCAACCACAGAGCGTTCAGATTAGCGCGCTGAGCCGAGAAACAGCTGATCGGCACAGCGCGGCAGCCATTTAAATTTAAATGAAGCGGCGATTATTTAAATCGCCGCTTCATTTTCCTATGCCGGGTAGCCTAATCTACATGCCTCTGTCACCAGAGGCATGTAGTCTAGACATACCCTTTGTGTCCATCCTGTGTATTCAGTGAGGCAGAGTAGTGTAGCCCAGGGCTCAGAGAGCAATCATACAATTCTTCCACTCTCAGATCAGGCTGTGGCCTGCAGAACTCAAATACTGGTGGCTCTGTTTCTGTACTTGCAGTCTGTTCTTTCTGACAATAATGGTAAACAAAGAGCAGAAAGTTTCCTTAAAGCAAAGTGTTATTTATTATGAACAAAAGAGTTTTAGAAAAAAATAAGTTTTGCAGTAATAAAGAGACTATACGCACGTCTAGCTTGCCAGGCGTTTGTCTGTCTTCCACAAAGAAATCCTGGTAGCTCTAAACTTCCTATAGAAGTTCCCCCCCTACACACCTTCTAGAGTTTGGCTGGCATAATTTGTTCCCTTCACTCATAAAACATTCCCTCCTGTGCCTTTCTGGGGCTCCCGGCTACAGGAAGCATCTCCTTTAAAAGCAGCTCAGTCCCCTGATCCTGGTAAGTAATAATAATTTACAAAATATACATTCTAGGCTAGGCCTCTGTTGAGTAGAGATAGTCCTAAAGAACAATGATGAGAGGTGTGGTAGTTTGTGATGTAAAGCAACATCTGTGAGGATTTAGACCACACAACTCCTTTTCATTCCTGATTTAAAACAAGATTTTATCCCAGCTCTCGAGAGGTGAAAGGAAACACTCGTTCATGGCCTGACCTACGTAGGTGAGAGGATTCGTTACTGGTGGTGATGGAGATTGCCTGGCAGACCACTAGCTTTTCATACCTCATGCTCACTGTCTCCTCTGTCCTGTCATTAATCTTTAATGACACACGCTAGTTGAGCAGGCCTCACCGATTGAGTGACAAGGGCTGTTTTTCACAATTGTCTTTTAAAATATGCAGAGTCTTATTGGCTTGCGCCGTGCAGTTTGGGGGCTTGGAACAGAACGCTCCCCATGGAACTCTGAGACTGCCTGAAATGAAAGAGAACGCGTACAGGGCTAGTAACCAGAGCCCTTCCTGGAGGAAGCGGTCAGTGAGATTACATGGCACATAACAAATACCTGGGCCAACAGCCCTGAAGCCAAACATGTGGCTCTCATTCTCTGCTCAAGTAGCATTTGCCATACTTGGAAGTGGAAAATGTGGCTTTGTGGAGCTGCCTGCTATAATTATTTTGAAATGATTATCTGGCTATTTCTTCATTTTAATATAACTTGGCTTGGTTTTTATTGGTGAAATATTTTAGATGGTTTTCCCAAGAGGCCTCTTTTTGCAAGCAATTTCATATCCATTTGCGCAGGGCAAGGGCTGCTTCACGTAAACTTGTCCTGGGTTGTTTGCAAAGCATAATTAGCACATCACACACATGCAGCCAGGTGCTATTGTAACTCACAAGCTAATTTCCTTCCCAAATATTGTTAAAGGACAAGGCCTCATAGGTCATCCATATCTAATTGCGGGCCTGTTGGTGTGACAAATGCTATGCTGGTATAGCCATACAATCAGAGGCCCCTACATACGGCATATGCCAACAGAGGAGTTTTTCTGCTGGCTTAGTAATACTACCTCCCTGAATGACAATAGCTAAGCTGCCATCCTAGTGGCACAGCTGTATCTACATATTGGGGGTTTTGCCAGCATAGCTATGACAACTAGAGGGAATGTTGTTTTCCCACATTCCTAGCCTACATAGAAATATAAACAAAACACAAAACATAAAAATAAAAACAAAACACAACAAAATTTTTTTATAGTGTTGACTAAGCCTGACTTTAATATGCTTTGGGTCAGGCCCATAGTTCTTTTCCCAATCAGTTCTGGATTGTCCCTACACTACACTATGATTTATATAATTATGCCCAAGATTTCAGGAGAATTTCAGATTTTTGGATGCCTAACTCAAGGCAT